ATTTTGTCTTGTCTTCACCACCTGGCTATACTGTTGTAAAATGTTGAGAGATTCAAACAAAAAGTACTAAATAAATAGAACAAAATAAAAAATAATAAAGACTGCAAGTGACGTCGCTAGCGGAAGTGCAAGTGTCTGAGAGTGCAATTCTGAGAATGCAAGTCTGAGAGTGCAAGTGCAAGGCTGCAGCCAGACCCTTCTCCAAATTGTAGTTTCAGTGCAGCTTCAAAGGGCTCTGCAGGATCCCAGCTGAGGAATAATGGTCTTTTCTAGAGAAACAATCTGTCATTTTCTAAAAAAAAATAAAAAAAAATACATAAATAAATAAATATAAATATATATATATATATATATATATATACCTTTTAACCACAAATGCTCATCTTGCACTAGCTTAGAATGTACATACTACTAGTCTACTACTCCTAAAATGATAAAACTTCTATTTAAAACTTACATTTCTTCCATGTTTTAATAATAAAAAAAAAAGTTTGTTTAATTCAAATATAAATAAAATTAATGTTTTATGCTTTCATTGGATAACCAGAAAATGTTAAATACACAACGCAGAATTTCTTAGGGGGAAAAAAAAACATTTCAAAAGCCTACTTTAAGAATACATTTTAATAAGTTAAATTGTTTTTATCTATTCAAATAATTAGTCATGCTAAAACAAAGAAGTTGGTAAAAATAAAACGGTGTGAAAAAATAAATAAAACATAAAAATAAAACATTTCATAGGGCCCTAAACATGTAATTTTTGTTAAACTTTTAATAAATTGATGTGAAATTGTATAAGTTTCATGATTTTAATTCATTAGACATGCTTTTTGATTAGTATTTAATTAAACTGTTAAAAAGGAGTAAAGAAAAATAAAAATGGAAAAAAATGGAATCCACAAAAATTAAAATGGAAAAAACGGAATTTGGGAAAAAACTAAACGGATTTCATAGGGCCCTACTAGCTCGACTTCACGCATTAAGTAATCATGTTGGAAAGGTCAAGCGTGACGTAGGCGGAAGTAGTACTGTAGTCCGGACTCGGATCGCAGAGCTAGTGCAAGTCAAGCATTTGTGGTTAAAAAGTATATACATTTTTATAGAAAATGACTGATCGTTTCTCTAAATGAGACCCTTATTCCTCGGCTGGGATCCTGTAGAACCCTTTGAAGCTCCACTGAAACTGCAATTTGGACCTTCAACTCGTTGGGTCCCTGTTGAAGTCTACTATATGGAGAAAAGATCCTGGAATGTTTTCCTCAAAAACCTATGTTGTTCCAATGTTGTTTTTATCACGTCTTCAACTAAAATGGAGCGTGTGTTTAATTATTTGGAAATTAACTGGCGTTATGTCTTCTGTCATAGCTTCTTTCAGGATGGTCTCAAAGCAGTGGACAACCTCAAACCCTCAATAGAGAAACTCGCCACAGACTTGCACTCGGTGAGAGATTTTTCAAAGCTGAAACACTGACATGCCAGCCTTATACTGGCTCACACCACTGATCTCTAGGTCAATTCTCATTTTTACCTTCACAAAACCTTCTGTTTCCACTGCTGGTTGTGTGTTCAGATCAAACAGGTACAGGATGAAGAACGCAGGCAGCTAACCCAGTTACGGGACGTGTTAAAGACCGCTCTGCAAGTGGAGCAGAAGGAGGTTAGTCCTTTCTCAAATCAGATCCCACGCAATTCGCAGCAACTTACAAACCACAGCACTATTCACAGTGTGTTTATAGCTCAGTTTGAAGTGTGTCTAAATTAAAATGGTTTAAGTCTACTGCTCAGTAAGCACTGAATGGGGAAACTGGTCATCAGCCTCTACTCTACTCTACATCAGCCAATTTTCACACCCTCTTAAGCTTTAGTCACTCTCAAGACATTTAAGTGTTTCCTCAATCAAGTAGCTTTGGCATATATGATTACAGACATTAAGAGATTACACACATTTAATCTAAATGCAAATAATCAGAAGTTAACAATCCTCTTAACTCCACGTGAACAAGTAAGAGTTTAATTTGTCTCGCCATCTGGGTTACACATGACATCCCTGTTTATTACAGGAGTGCACAATATATCTGTGATCATAGTGGTTTCGGTCAATCAGTCAATCTATTTATTTGTTCATGTATTTATTTATTTATTGCCCACCTTCATATTTTATTTTACTAACAGCCTTGTTTACTATAGGAGTACACTATATTTGTGATCATATTGTTTTCGACCTATTTTATATTTTATTTTATTTTGTTTTATTTTATTATTTATTTTTATTTATTTATTTTTTTTTATCTTTGGCCTTGTTTACTTTAGGATTACACAATATATATATATATATATATATATATATGTGATCATTGGTTTCGGTCAAATGAATTGATTATTTTTATTTTATTTTATTATCTATCTATAGCACAATATTGCTCAAAATCGAATTGATTTTGGCCACAATTATTGTTTTGTTTTTTTTTTCCAATAGGCACTGCACACTTTTTTCCGTAGGCATCATAGACTTATTTGGATGATATTGGCTCATTTTTTCCATTTCTGGTTGCATACTCTAGATTTCTTTTAATTCATTATTAGCCATAACCTAAAAATAACTGGCCATTGATATCACACAATGTTTGATACATTCTTACAGTATATAGCAATGTTGTTTTAGTGTGCAAAATGTTTTTTGTAACCTGTCTGAAGAATGCTCTCTTCTCTTCTTTAATGCTACCGTCCTTTGACAACAAAGTCTAGGAGAGTAAGTGTCTGCTTGGTATACATGATCATACTTGCGCATTTGCCATTTCCTGGAATTGTCTGCAAAATGTAAAAGAAAAGAAAAAACAAACATGCAGTGCAGATTAATTAAATCTAAGGCTCTGAGTGCAGTTCATACAATGTTGCGGCTGATGTCTTTTATCCAACCCTGAGTGATGTGGCACTATATTTAAGCCGAGCTTTATACAGCACACACCATCAAAATACAGCCCATTTTGGCTTTCGTCCAACTCAAAACATTAGTACTAAAATGGCAGTGTTCTCATTACTGGCTCAGAGCCTTGTGTTCCAAAGCAGTGCGTTTCCAAATGAGCTCAGCTCCCTGGGGACGCTTGAAACCCACTGCTCCCATTTCCTCACTGAAGTGACAACACTGCCATACAAAAACACTGCTTTTCACTTTCTCTGACTGCTGACATGCCAGTGCTTCACTGCTGCTGTGTGTACAGAGAATACATTTACATATCTGTTCTCCTCATAGGACTCACAGGTTAGACAGAGCGCCACCTACAGTCTGCACCAACCCCAGGGTAACAAAGAACACGGGACGGAGCGCAGCGGGAACCTTTACAAGAAAAGTGATGGGTAATCATATTTTGACATCACATAACATAGTGTGCATTAAAGGGGTCATAGGATGCTACATGCACTTTTACAAGCTGTTTGAACTGAAATGTGTGTTGACAGTGTGTGTACACAACCACCCTATAATGATAAAAATCCACCCAGTGTTTTTTTTTTAAATCTGGTTAAATGTTTTCCCCTTTCTCAAATCGAGCCAATCTCAGATGCCTGTCTGTGTGACGTCACACAGACAGGCCCCTCCCACGATAG